GAAAATCTTCCTTGACTCTCCTTCCAATATTGTAAAATATCCATGTTCATGTGTCTCTTAGCATCTAGCTTCCCTTCTTCTAGATATATATCTAGCTTAGATTTTTGAGAAGCATGAACATCACTAGAAAAATCAATAAAGTCCTTCACATTTACACAATAACACAATTGCATTAATCACAATTAAAAATAATAAGCATACTAAAAAAGATATTAAATATTTTTATTCAAAATACTCACACCAAAATAATTGACTTGTGATGCTTGAGAGGAATGAGAAGCACTAGCACTTGCTTGAACACTTGTAGAAGATGCATTATATTCATTGACATAGTTGGAGTTGGAATATAACTTGAACTTGTCTCATAACAAGCAAAGAGCTCATACGTATTTTTCTTTACTACATCCAACTTTTTCCAACCCTCAGGATCAACCTTTGCATAACAAAACTTTATCATTTCTATGTTAAATCTTGGATCAAGCACAATATCAATGGCAAGAATAATACTATACTCACTCCAATACTTGTCAAACTTAACTTTCATTCTTGTTGACATTTCTTTAATTAAAAAATCATCATTACTTTCCTTCTCTCTCAACAAACGCTCTATTGTGCAAATTTGCATAAAATACAAATTAGCAGTAGGATAAGAAGATCTAGAAAATAGTGTAGTGTTGTCGCGTTGATATAAAATGGAGCCAAGAAAGAACAAATCAGTTCCCCTCTCTTCCAATCCTCACTTGATGGACAAGTGATCTGACAAAATTCATGTCATGTAATATTAGACTATCAAAAGCACGTTTGTACTGCAAAACACTATCTAACATGGCATAAGTTGAATTCCATATAGTGGGGACATCTGTCTTCAAACTCACATTAGTATCAATTCCTACAACTTACTCAACACACTTAGTAAACAACATTTTTCTTGACTCTGAATTTTTCACATATTTGATACTTTCCTTAATCTTGAGTAAACTAGAACTTGCAGCTTTTAATCCTTCTTGAACAATTAAATTCAGTATATGTGCACAATATCAAATGTGAAAGAACTGACCATCACACAACAAACTATTCTGCAAAGATAATGTTATTTTATAATATTTTGCATACTATCATTTGCAGAAGCATTGTCCAAAGTCAAAGAAAAAAATTTCTTGTCAATTTTTCATTCTTTCAAACAATCCAAGACTGCTCCTGGCAACTCTATACCAGTGTATGGAGGCTCAAATTTGCAAAAAAAAAAAAAAAAAAAAAAAAAAAAAAAAAAAAAAAAATCTTACTATTTAACTTCCAATTCATATCAACAAAGTGAGCAGTAATACAAATATAGCCTTCAATTATTCAAGCAGTCCAACAATCACTAGTAGGCTACTAGTCTACTACCTATAAATTGTTTAATTTCGTGGTTAAGTGTATATATATATATATATATATATATATATATATATATATATATATATATATATAGGGGTGATCACATGTGGCCATGTTGTTAGGTGTGGTCATATGGTCAATTATAGGCCATTAGATTAGATAGATCCAATGAATCATATTAATCAAGATTTTTCCAGTATTTTCGCGCACATTCTCCTACCCAGCAAACTGCAAGGGTAAACTCATCATAAAACACCGGAATAGGGAAAATCACATTGTTGTGTATTTTATTACATTATTGGTGTATGTTGTCAACACTGTTGGTGTATTCTGGAACCCGGCCGCTATAAATGGCCACTGTAATTACTATAACACGGGAATACACCATTGATGTGTTTCACTGTGGTGTGTTTTATTACACTATTGGTGTATGTTGTCAACACTGTTGGTGTATTCTGGAACCCGCCCACTATAAATGGCCACTGTAATTACCATAACACCCCCACTTACCAAAATGCGCGAAAATTCTCAAAATTACCAATGTCGTTAAATTAAACTGATTCAATGACACAGATACGACCACACGACCACATATGAGCGCACTTCTATATATATATATATATAGCGCTTAAAATTAATGTTGGTTCTCCCAACATTTTTTTTATCAAATGTTGTTCTATGCACACACGCAAAATTAAACTTATTTAGGTTATAGACATATATCAGGATAAGTAAAATAGATATCTTATACTCTTATGGTCCGTTTGGTTCACCAATAGTTATGCTGTGCAACCAAATGCACCATGCGCATGCATGGTGCATACGATGCAAAACGATGTCGTTTTAACTAAAAACGCGCGTCCCACTTAAAAAAAAAATATCAGGTTCGATTCTCGGCAATAGCATTATTGTGGATATATAGTTATGAATTTATGGATATTTAACTCATTCATTGTAGATATTTACTTCATTCATTCACTGTGGATATATAGTTATGAATTTCTGGATATATAGTTATGAATTTATGGATATTTAGTTCATTCATTGTGGATATTTAGTTCATTCATTGTAGATATTTACTTCATTCATTCACTATGGATATTTAGTTCATTCATTGTGGATTTTTACTTAATTCATTCACTATGGATATATAGTTATGAATTTGTGGATATATAGTTATGAATTAATGGATATATAGTTATGAATTTATGGATATATAAAAATGCTATTGCCGGAAATCGAACATGATTTCTTCTTTAACTGGGACGCGCGTTTTTTAACCAAAACGACGTCGTTTTGCATCGAATGCACCATGCGCATGGTGCATTCGGTTGCACAGCATAATTTGAGTTGGTTCACGAAATAGGCTGGGAATGGCATAGCATTCCCAGTAATAGGCCTATTCCTTTGTTTGGTAACCATTTCTATTACCAGGAATAATATTCCTGGTAATAGCCTATTACCTCAAATAAGGTAATAGCTATTACTAGGGGCCCCCCTGGTATTAGGCTATTACTGAACGCTCAGGAATAGATTTTATAATCTATTTTTTTTTTACCCCTTTCTTTAACCTAATTTTTTAATCCTATATATAAATTTATCCTATTTCACCACCGTCGTCGCCACCACCACCACCACATTCAAATAACTTAATTCAATTTTCAAATATAAAATAGAAACATAATATTTATTAAAAAAATTATTTCACTATGACTCAATTCATATATAAATATAGAGTTAATTCCATTTTTAGTCATAGATTTATTAGGCTCTGTTTGGCAAAGTTTATTTATGAGCTTATAGCTTATTTTAAGCTACTAATAAGCTATAAGCTCTGTTTGGTAATGTTTCTAAAATAAGCTAGTAGCTTAAAATAAGAGATTATTTTGAAATGGTACTTTAGGTAGCGTTTCAAAATAAGCTAGGAGCTTCCTAACTTTATTTCCATCTTTGTCCTTATTATTTTAAAGAAATGACATCATTTACCCTTCCCAATTAAAATTTTTTTCTCTTCTCTTTTATCCGCAACTTTTATCGCAATTATTATTATTATTATTATTATTATTATTATTATTATTATTATTATTATTATTATTATTATTATTATTATCATTATCATTATCATTATCATTATTATGAGATGAAGGAAATTCGCAACACTATTGCTACTTCATTATGGGACGATCTGCGTGCGCCAAAAGAGGAAGTTGCGAGTGGTGAGCTTCATCGAAACGAAGTGGTGGGCAGTGTTTAGGGAATTGGTGGTGGTCGACGTGGGTGTGGCGGCACTCACAGTACGTTCCGATGAGTTTGTAGACATCGTAGAAAATACAGGAGAGAGAAACGAGGCTTACTGATACCAGATGAAAGTAATCAGTTTGATTGATCGATAATTCTCTGTCAATTACAATACTAGAGACCTATAGGAATAGGTTACTCTAAACACTCCTAAACAATAGGCTAGACTATGCCTACTTCACCTACAACCACTACTACAACAAGCATATAATATAACAATAATATAAACTTTATGAACAGTTCATGATTATGCTAATAATTTTATTTCAAAATGTTAATTTTTTTTGAAGACAAAATGTTAAATTTTAATATGTAAACAAACTAATTTAAATTTTATGAAGATTTCCTTTTTGTCTTTTTACATTTATCAGCTTATCAAAAAGTTAATTTTACCAAACACTTTCAAGCATTACAGCTAGCTTAACAGCTCTTCAATTTTCAGCTCCTAGCTTATAGCTTTTCAGCTTTCAGCTAGGTTTGTCAAACATAGCCTAAGTGTTAGTCAACTTTTAGTCCTTTATTTTTAAAATATCTCTTTTTAGTCATTTATTATGGCATGATATTTTTTATCTTTCGTCAACAAAATCATTTAAATTGCGTTAAATACAAAGACATTTTGATCTACTCAATTCTAAGTGTTAAGTCCTTTTCTTTTTTCTTTTTTCATTTTTCTTTTTTTAATTCTAGATTTATATGTCATTCTACTTTTAGTCTTTTTTTTTTTTCAAACATCCTCGTTGGTCCTAGAATTTTTCAAAACATCCTCATAAGTATTACATTTTTCCTCGTGAGACGGGTTTAGTCTAGTGTATTAGAGATAAATTGATTGTTGCTTATGAGGGAAAGTATAATATTTATATAGAAAAATGTAATACTTTTGAAAAAAAAATAAATCAAAATGTAATATTTAGGGTTGAAAAGGTATGACAAAAATGATATACTAATTAGTCTGTGTATAGTATGGGCTTAACCTTAAAGGTGTCTCCTACAAATTAGGGCACAGTTTAATGATAAAATTGATCTATAATGTCAACACATTTTTTTAGCTTATATTAATTTATGCATTTGTAGTATAAAACTTGTGCACCTATAGTATAAAACTTGTGCACTTCAAAGTAATTATTCTTTGCACTCATAGTATAACGTTGTGCCCTTAATTATAGTATGGAATTTATGTAATGTAGTATAGAACTTGTGTACTTTCATAAAACTTTTACACTTCAAAGTTAGAAAAAATACTAAAATACCACAATATTTTTTCTAAATTTCCCTGCATTCAGGAGAGTTGATACGGACCAGATCAAGGGCTGAGATTCGCCTTTTTTTATTTGATCATATGTGAACATGCTAACTGCACAATCATTTATTAGGGAATGCATAATCAGACATTACAAGATGCATAATATATAGTTCACACACACATACACAAGTAAACTTGTGGATTAATCTTGTGCGCTTGTTTTTATTTATTTATTTGTGTGGCTTAGATTTGATTTCCTAATATGACACATATTGGTCTTTTTTTAAGTGAGGGTAGACCAATGGTTTTTTTTTTGTGACCATATTTGTTTCCTATTTTCTTGGAACATCACGCAAATTAGAGTTGCGATTTCTTCATCATTGTCTCATTGATCGAGTGTTCGTCCATGAAAAGTGATCAATACTTTCTTTTTTAAATGCACTGCATATATTACATAAATGCACCAATACTACTACGTGAAATGGTAATTGCTAAACGAATGCATTGCGCATTCATGCAGGAGCTAGACTAGTTGTGCATTCGTGTAGTACTTACCGTGCATTACTAAGAAGTCAACATGTTCTCACGTTAATTTATATTCTCACATGGAAATAAATCAATATAACAAAAACTTGTGTGAGACCGTCTTATATCTTTGATTAATGAGGTCAAACATTTGACCCATTAATAAAAGATTTGACCCATAACATAAGTAAACCATGTCTTTTATTCAAAATAAAACTACACAAACTAAAAAGGTGCATACATATTCAGCAAGCCAAACAAGAGCATGCGCTGCAAGCGAGCTGGTGCCTGGTTGGCTTGCCATCAACATTAGGTTTTATTACATATCATATAATAATAATAATAATTTTGATCACAAAAACGAAGGAAAAAGCTAAGAGAATATTATTATTATTACAGCAGGGTTTTGATGTCACTGGCTATGCTTTGGGAATCGAAAGAAATCCCATACAGTCCTCTCCTAGCTAGCCCCGCGCAATACAACCCATTCTTGCCCTTCCAGTGCATAGGGAATTCTGGATTTGGAAGCCCATCCTCATTTAATAGATACTCATCGCCCTTCAACCCACAAAATCAATACAATTCAAATTAGTTAGTACAATAGATCAGATATACTGGTTCAAATATGAACACTGTTTCTTATGCGAGCTCATAATAGATATACTGATTCAAATGTGGACAGTGTTTCTCATGCCAGCCTACCATTAGATATGTAAAAATGGAAATAAATTAATTTTTGTAGTTATGCAACTGAAAGAAATTAAAGTATAAATATTTTTTAAAAAAATTACATCAAATAATAATAATAATGATGTTGGATATTTAAAAAAAAAAAAAAAAAAAAAAGTATTCAATAGTGATAAAGAAACCTGAAGCCATTTGTTGGTGGATCTTTTGAAGCCAGTAGCAAAAACAATAGCATCAAAGGGATGTGAGATGCCATTCCGAAATATAACATCGTAACCGTTGATGGATTCCATCGCAGGCAACACCTGTCATCATACACCATTCATCTATCATATTTAAGAGTTATTTTGTCAACTATTTCCACACATTTGCATGTGCGTTACAATTATTAGTTTACTTCCTATCTGCCTAGGTAGCTACTTATTTCAGTAGTGTATGGAGTTAGGAGGATGGGTGTGTTTGGTTCGCACATGGAGATTGGAATACGAATGGGAATGAGAATTATATATTTGGTAATAATAATAGATTTTAGTGAAAGTATTTACATGTTTGATAATAGGATGCAATTGAAATGATTACTAATATTGATGTTTGGTTGTATATGACCTTTGGAATAAATGTTTTAAAAATACAAAAACAAAAAAAGTCAATTGATCCTAATATAATGACATCCAAAACATCAATATGAACAAAAAAAATTAAAACGTAAAAATTAAATTATTAATGAGATGGAATCATGAAATGATACCCTTTTTTAATTAGAAAATGAGATTTTTAATTGAAGGGGTAATCAAATATAATTGTATTTTAAAAAGTTGTCAATCAAACATTAACTATGATTTTGATTCTCATTCCTAGTGATGTGTAACTCATGAGCCAAACACACCCTATATACTGTTACGCAATTTATTTCTGCATGCCTTGCATGCAGGGCCGGATTTTAGGTTTTTGTGGCCCTGTTCTGGTAAATAATTGAGGCCCTCCAAAATCTTAATTTTTAAAACTAAAATATGCGAGTTTCGAACCTTTGACCTTCAAGTGAAAATACGTACAATAAATACACATTGCTACTAGGGGTGTCAATGCGGGCCAACCCGCCTCATTAGGCCCGCCCCACCGCGGGCTTTTTATTTGGCGGGCTTCTGCGGGCCGCCCCACGCGGGCTTGCGGGTTTCGCGGGCTGGACCGCGGGCCATCACTTAAATTAATAAAAAAAAACATTAAATAGTATATAAACATGTTAAAATCGCTTGAAATATGACACTATTTATTGGTCGTTCTTTCGCATCCTTACGGTGTATGATACACCTCAATGCACCGGAAACTTCCATAAAATCCATAAACCTCGCCCAAATCTCCTGGATCGATACCGCGCGTTGAGCAGAACTGTAGAAGGGTGATCAAAGATAGGGTTCAACATCACACTCTATTTCTCTCTCGGCTTCAGATTTTCCCCCTACAGTTTCCGTCTGTGTATAATACATATATAAATATGTATGTTTGCTGGACTTGGAGTTTAGTAATTCATATATATGTATGAATTGATGATTTAGTTTTAGTAATTGTTTGATAGAGTTGGAGGCGGATGGAGACGGGAGAACCGAAGAACTACGTACTCTAGGAATTATTGAATTAAGAATTGGCGAAGGATTATTGAATTATTGGCCGAATTTCTCCCCTTCTGCATACTCTTAGATAGTAAGATCTACACATTGCCTAAGAATTAAGATATTATATATCTGATTTTTTTTAAAAAATAGATATTATATATATAATTTATTTATTTATTTTTAAAATATGGCCTGGCCCGCGGGCCGGGCAGCAACCCGTTAGGCCCGCATTTTCGTGAGCCTAATTTCTTGCGGCCCTAACCCGCCCCATCGTGGGGCGGGTGCGGGCTAACCCGCGAGCTTCGGCCCACTTTGACACCCTTAATTGCTACCATCTCTTCATGGAACCTTTTAAGTTTAATTGAAAACTTTTAATTTTTATTTCTAAACTAGTTAGGTAAATATTAAATATTGGGTCTCTAAAATTTGAGACTCCTCTAAAATTGGGAGCCCCGTGCGATAGCCCAGCTTGCACATCCTAAATTCCGGCCCTGCTTGCATGTCGCCTTCCATTCCCCTATGCTTTTTATCATTTCCATTACACTAGATCCTGTCTGTCTTTCCCTACAACTAATCCTATGGAATTTTAACGTAACTGTATTCCCAAGGTTCAAATCAAACCTCTAGTTAAAAAGAACAGAAGGTGCTTGGCATCAAACACAAACACAAATATATTGAGAACAAATAATAGGAAATTAATTTTTAAATTTTAATATCATATATTATTTCGTTTAATTTTATAATATAATATTTAAACATTGACGTTAATAAATGAATTAATGAGGAGAAATATATATACCTGAATCTGACCGGACTTGACCTTAGCATGGGTTCCGACGTCGAAGATGGGGTATTTTCCGTCCTTGACTTGGGCTGTAAAGGGAGGCTCTTTTGTCCTTTTCACCCCATAATATTTGGCGATGTCTCCATATACAAGCTTGCTAAGCATCAACATGACCGAGTTAACTATCCAATACGGCATGTGATACTTCGACATCGTTACCGCCAAGTATCCAATTTCTCTTGTTATAATGTGAAACTGTAATTATCTATATAATTAATCAACATACACACATATATACATATATGTATGCATTAATGCAACTTTTCAAGGTGTTAGACCGAGGCCGGAGACAGTTGGGGAGGGGGACCGTGGATGTTAAGGTTAAAAACACTTTTTTTTTTTTTTTTAATTTTCTCAATCTATGTAACCCGAGTTTTTCACGGTAGAACACATTGACTAATTTCCTTATTAAATTGTAGGCAGCTCTCAGAGTGACACAATCATGTGCTTCATACCCAAAGTCAAGAATCCATCTCTTGAGGTTTGGTTAAAGATAAATAAGTCACTTCCATTCAGTCACGCTACATAACTAGGTTACATTAGAGCCTTACTGCGCACACCTAGATTAACTCTATTCGTGTCAGTGACATTTAAAAGGTGATAAAGTACTTGGTCCTTAAATTCGAGATCTTTGGTTAAACTAGAATAATGATGTGCAAAAGTAGAAAATGATTAAGAAGTTAAAGGAATGGCATTGTGTCCAGATCAAGAAATTAAAAATTAGCAGTGTGGGAGCAACCTCTCAAAGTGAGGGGATTTCTTGTGCGCAGTGAGCACTGGTCTAGCCTCTGTGGTTCATGTTCAGTTGAGTTACCATGATTTACATCTTTCCAAATGCTCTGTCGAGTCGGGATGTGGGGCCTTAGGGTTGGGGTTCAGCCTTCTTTTTTGGATGAAGAAATTAAAAATTAAAAGAATATTGTATAGTTACCGGGCTACGGACGACGATGGAGGTTTTAGCACCGTAATTGCTGAGATCAAGAGCAATTTCCATGCCGGAATTCCCACAACCCACCACCAAAACTCTTTTGTTTCTATACTTCTCGCCGTTCTTATACTGCGTAGAGTGAATGATCTCTCCCGCGAATCTCTCAACACCCTTTACCTCAGGGATAAAAGGGATGCTTGCTTCGCCGGTGGCCACCACCAGGAACTTGCCGGAATATTCCTCCACCTCTCCGGAATCCGCCATTCTCGCCGTCACGTTCCACTTTCCAGTACCCTCATCATATCCCGCGGATTCGACCGCCCTTTTGCACCGAGGGATGATGTTGAAATTGGAGACGTACTGGTCCAAGTAGTTTATGAACTGTTCTCTGGGAACATAGGTCGGAGCAGTCGCCGGAAAATGGAAGTGGGGAAGCTCACAGAAGTGCTTAGCGAGGTGAAGATGGAGGCGGTCGTATGCGTATTTCTTCCACATGGAAGCGTAGCAGTCTTCTTTCTCGAGGAGAATGTTTGGGATGGAGAGGCGGTTTAGACATGCAGAGGTGGCGAGGCCCGCCGGACCGGCGCCGACGATGATCACCGCCGCTTCTTCTTTGGTTGACATATTTTCTGTGTGTTTATTTTGGAAGTGAAAACAAAGAGAATAGGTATTAGGTGTGAGTGCTTGAGTAAATTAAAGCGAGATCTAAGGGTTATTGTATACTACAAATGTACAATGCATGGTACCGCTATAAGTATTGCTAGAGACTCATCTAGACAAAATTAGAAGTATTAAACATGGTCCAATATATTCAAGGACTATGCTAATAATCTAGAAGTAGACTTTAATTTGGGAGTCATCATTACATGCCCACCATTATATCCTAAATTGTTCCCAAGGACTTCCCACACTCCGACTCGACAGAATATTTGGAAGGATGTAATGGATTCAATGACTCAACAGACAAGGCAAAATTAAATGCGAGTGTACATAAAGAATCTGCCAACTTTGGACATATTCTCACACTGTCGCTGTTGAAGTTCGAACATTAATCTATTCTCCCAAATACTCTAATAACACCCCCAAATCTATATTAGAGATAAAGGCAACAAAAGCTGGAAATACTAAATAAAGTTCAAAAGCTTGAGATAAGTAAATGCGGAAGCAAAATCAATCTATAAGGGGTGTTATGCCACACTTAGGCCATACTACTTAAATGCTAAGACAAAAGTCTAAAACATCAAATCACAAATAGCATAATCCAAAAGCTAACATAAACTGAATCATTACAACCCACAAATGTCTACGTAAAGCCTCACAGGCCACCAGTCTAAAAGGAGAACATTAAAACAACTAAAAAGAGGAATAGAGCTACTATCATATATACTATCGCGCTCACGAGACTGGATTCTACTCCATACGTGAAAACAATTTTAAAATATTAGCGAAAGATGTTAAGTAAATTTCACTCCAACAGGTAAAACTACATAAATATACATTTGATAGCCAAAATAAGTTTTGAGACTTTAATACATATATAATGTCTAGCCAGCTCTACAAGAAGGATTCAAAACACTCACACTCAATCAATGGCATGTATATCAATTAGCAAGGTTCTTAATATTAGTTCCAACCGTACCATCAGTCCATCCAAAACACCAGTCCAACCACAACACAAAAATAGAGTCGAAATTCACTACACCTATCCAACGGAACCGAAGCTCATATCCACCAATACAAGGAGACGAAGCTCAATTCCGCCAATTCAAGTAACCAAAACAAAGCATACATATATAGATATGGTCCCAAAGGATAAATACTACATGGAATAGGTCAAGGGTAATGGTTCAAACACAAATCAAGATAAAGATATTCAAGAATAAGGGAAATGGACTTGGGTTTCATATAATATAATATATTTATATATAACATTAGGTGGGTTAGGAGTTTTAAGTTTTTAATAATCATTTATAAAATAAGTGCAAGCCCACCATAGTCTTGAACAATAGTTATGTTGTGCAACCGAATGTACCATGCGCATGGTGCATACGGTTCAAAACGACGTCGTTTTGATTAAAAACGCGCGTCTCACTTAAAAAAAAAAAATCAGGTTCGACTCTCAGCAATAGCATTATTGTGGATATATAATTATGAAATTGTGGATATATAGTTATGAAATTGTGGTTATATAGTTATGAATTTATGGATATTTAGTTCATTCATTGTGGATATTTAGTTCAATCATATATTGTGGATATTTAGTTCATTCATTGTGGATTTTTACTTCATTCATTCATTCATTGTGGATTTTTACTTCATTCATTCATTCATTGTGGATTTTTACTTCATTCATTCACTGTGGATATATAGTTATGAAATTGTGGATATATAGTTATGAAATTGTGGATATTTAGTTCATTCATTGTGGATATTTAGTTCAATCATATATTGTGGATATTTAGTTCATTCATTCATTCATTGTGGATTTTTACTTCATTCATTCATTCATTGTGGATTTTTACTTCATTCATTCATTCATTGTGGATTTTTACTTCATTCATTCACTGTGGATATATAGTTATGAAATTGTGAATATATAGTTATGAAATTGTGGTTATATAGTTATGAATTTCTGGATATATAAAAATGTTATTGCCGGGAATCGAACCTGATTTCTTCTTTAAGTGTGACGCGCGTTTTTTTAACCAAAACGGCGCCGTTTTGCAACCATATGCACCTTGCAAGGTGCATTCGGTTGCACAGCATAATTTGCGAGTCTTGAAATCAAAACTCTTTGAAAATATAAATATGGGCTAGTATATATATATATATATATATATATATATATATATATATATATAGACTTTAATAGTTGGGCTCCTGTATTAAAATATCTTAGTAAATATTCTCGGCTTGAAGTTGGGCTTAGAATACCCTACATATGCAATCGTTATATCCTATACCATGGCGCACATAGTACTGTGCGCCGCGCGCCTCCCAAAACGACATCGTTTTGAGGTAGTGTTGGGAGGCGCGGTAGGAAGTTGCTGAGATTATGTGTATTTGTTCACAACGTTATGTGTATTTATTCACAACGTTATGTGTATTGGTTCATACAGTTATGTGTATTTTTTATACAATTATGTACATTCTTTTTATACAATTATGTACATCCGAATTAGAAAATTTGTATGTATTATGTTAAGAGTTGATGTGTATTATGTTAAAAGTTTATGTTTATTATGTATTATGTTAGATTATGTGTATTATCTTTTAAAAAGAGTATGTATATTTTGTTATATAATTATGTACATTCATGTATAACATTATGTGTATTCTAGTATAACATTATGTACATTCTTGAACAGCGGGTTTTTTTTAAAGAAAAAACTACTGCCATTCACTGGGGCGGGAAATTTAAAAAAAAAATAAAATTAAAACGACGTCGTTTTGCATCTGGGCGCATAGTGCAACGCGCGCCGTGGTGTAGGATATAAATTGCCCTACATATGTGTTAGGGATTATTTCAATTAGAAAGTTGGGGCTTAAATAAAATAAATACGGTAGGTAATTTCAGCAATCGTTATGCGTTGGACCCGTGTCCAGCATGTTTGCTGGACACGGGTAACAGTGCCGTTAGGCACTGTTATCTCTTTTTTTTTTTTTTTTTTTTTTTTTTTTTTAAATTTCAGACCGCTTTGTTATAGAAGTATATGTTCATAATTTTATTACTATATGTTAATAACTGTACATTCATAACTCCATAATTGTACGTTCATAACTCTATAACTGTACATTCATAGCTCCATAACTGTACATTCATAACTTCATAACTGTACATTCATAACTCCATAATTGTACATTCATAATTTTCGAAGCTCTATGTTTCACAATTTTAGAACTCTATGTTCATAATTTTATCACTATATGTTCATAATTGTAAGTTCATAATGTTAGAGCTCTTTGTTCATAATTCGATCAATAACTGTACATTCATAATTCCATAACTGTAGATTCATAATCTCATAACTGTAGATTCATAACTCCATAACTGTAGATTCATAACTCTATAACTGTACATTCATAATCTTCGAAGCTCTATATTCACAATTTTAAAGCTCCATGGTCATAATTTTATCACTATATATGTTCATAATTGTAAGTTCATAATGTTAGAGCTCTGTGTTCATAATTTCATAATTTCATAATTGCATAACTGTACATTCATAACGGCATAACTGTACATTCATAATCCAAAAAAAAAAAAAAAAATAACGCCGTTAACGGCAAAACGTGCGCGATTTTTTTTTTTATAAACTAAATGACGCGTTTTTTTTTAAAAACAACGTCGTTTTGGGCCCGTGTCCACAATTCATTGTGGACACGGGTCCAGGGCATAATTTGCCTAATTTCAGAAATAAAATATTACGAGGTGTTACAATTGTCTACTGAATTAATGAACCCGTGTTAGCAATATGCAAATTATATTATGCACTGCGGTGCATAATTGATTATGCACCGCGCGTCTTTTTTTTTTAAATGAAAATAAACAGTGTTTGTTTCCGCCGTTTCGCACTCTTTTGTAAAAAGTAACTCTGTTATTCAGTGTCATTTTGTATACACTGCAGTTTCAGTTCAACACAACTACAGTTTCATTTCGATATAACTATAGTTTCATTCGATATTTATAGACTCAAATATGTGAAAATGTTATTTAATTTTATTTTATATACACTATAGTTTCATTAAAACAGAACTACATGATCATTTTGATATAAGTACAGCTTCATTGTACTATATACACTCAAATATGTGAAATGTTATTCAGTTTCATTTTATATACACTGCAGTTTCATTTCACTATAACTACAGTATCATTTTGATATAACTGCAGTGTCGGTTTAGATATACTATAGTGTCAGTTGGTGTTTAATACACCAAACAAGCGGACTCCGTTAACTCTAACGGTGGACCGTTTCTTTACTTAAAGAAACGGCGCCGTTTTTTACCGCGGTGCACATGAACCGCGGTCTATAATATAACGACTGTTAGCAATAGAACAGATGATTTAATAGTGGTAGATAAAGAAACCTTCTTCCCCCAAATAAAGAAACCTGAAGCCATTTGTTGGTAGATCTTTTGAAGCCAGTAGCAAAAACAATAGCATCAAATGGATGTGAGATGCCATTCAGAAATGTCACATTGTAGCCGTTGATGCATTCAATCGCAGGCAATACCTGTCATTATGACAATGAAAAAAATTTGTTTGAGACCGTCTCATTGTGAGTCGATCTAGTCAGATCAGATCGGATTAAGATCAAAATATAATACTTATACGTACAATTGTCATATTTATATGTTCAAATGATATAATAATCAGAAATAAAATGTTTGCTACTTATAAAGGGGTGAATTCCATTTTTGGTCCTATTGTTATAGGGGTCATTCCAATTTTAGTCCACCATAATTATTTTTGTCACATTACGTCCACTATTATTAAAAGTTTTTCAATTTTAGTCCACGAAAAATCTTAAAGTGGACTAAAATTGGAACACTTTTAATAATAGTGGATGCAATGTGGCAAAAATAATTATGGTGGACTAAAACTGGAAAAACCCCTATAACAATAGGACCAAAAATGGAATTCACTCTTATAAAGGTAAATGTAATACTTTTACATTTCAATTTAAAAGTATTATATTTTTCGTTATAAAGGACACTTGCCAACATTACTTATTATGAAAAATATAATACTTTTAATTACATGCATCAAAATGCAAAAGTATTACATTTCTCCTTAAGTAACAGAAATTTTATTCCTGATTAGTATTACATTTGAGCATATAAGTATGACATTTGCATGATGATTCGGCCCAACCCGACTCGTCTCACGAATAAGGATTCGTGAGACGTTTAAGTGTGAATCCTTGCAAATTATTATGTAGAGCATCCACACTAAAGGTTAATAATAGGTTAATGTCAGATGAATAAACTTGAGTGTGGATATTAAAAGATGTGGGGTGGGGTTATTTGAGGGAAGAATCCTCTTGCAAATGCAAAAATAATGTCAGATATTAAAAAAAATAAAAATGAAACACAGGTGCGTGCTTGGCGCGCACCTTGCGCCCCACCGCGGGCTGGCGGCCACTCTGACATTAACTCCTTTTTATATATGTACTAGTTTTTTACGCGCATTGCGCGATTGGGATAATGCCCAATGTTTTTTTTTTTAAATAAGTAAGATTATATATATTGAAATTGTTCATGCATAGATAATTGAAGGTTGAATTTGCGTATTTAAGCATTGTAGGAAGTTGTAAATCACGGTGACTCAATGGTTCAGCAGACAGGACCAAATGCCAGTGTGAACAAGGAATCTGCCCACTTTGGACATAATTCCCGCACTGCCGCCGCCGAGGTTCAAACCTTGGTCTCTTCTCCCAAATACTGCCCACTAAACCATTGAGCTAAGCCCGTGCGGGTTAAATAGGTAATTCTAAGTTTACAAATGCAAGATAATATAGTCAAGATTGATTATAATTGTCAATAAAATAATTGTATAGGTATGGTTGAAACCAAATACGGGACATAAGGGAGAACAAATAAAAATTAGGGCATAAAATATTAAATATATATTTCTATTGTTTGAGGAGATTTCGACATTAGGATTTGTGGTTAAGTTCTATTAAGACTTTAATATTAGAATTAGATTAATGGTGTAATTATAATTCTATATTAGACGTTAATATTATAATTAGACTAACGGCGAATTAACGGTATTTAACGAAAAAGTTAAATGGATAAACATATAATTAAGGATAAATTAGAAATTTTTTTTTAAAAAATTAAAACCTGAACAATTTGAACCATTCATTTGATTTAATAATTTGGCGGTCATTTTTTCTACCCAATGTTAATAATTAAATAAATTCGTTGGTCAAATCCGTTAATATAATCCGCGCGCTATCTGCTGATTGTCAAACAAGGACATTGCAAGGTAGTTCTCACTTCAATTTGTTGTGTGATTTGAATACTCTCTTTGTCACAAAATCTCTCAAGTAGTTAATATGGTTGGCTTTATTAATTATATTTTTTTTTTAATTTTTTCATGGTATTAATAAAATACTTGGTAAATAAATATATAGCATTATTTTGTATTATAACTTTGATATTTAATTAGAAAAATAGTGCAAAAAAAAGATAATAGACAATGTAGTGAATATAATCAATTGATGAATTTGAATGTAAAAATTTTTACATTTGAGAAAAATAAAGACAATATAACTAATGAAAATATTTCTCTTAATTAATTTATTGATAATGAATAATTTTTTTTCACTGAATTAAGACATTGTAAGGACAATGTAGCGAATATAATCAATTAATAAATTTGAATATAAAGAATTTTTATATTGTAGAAAAATAAAGACAATATAACTAATACAATTATTTCTCTTATTTAATTTATTGATAATGAATAATTTATTTTTGAATAAAGACATTGTGGACACATAATTCTAAATTAAAGAAATGCATATCTATAATTTTTTGTTGTAGCTACTAAATTATTATTTATATAATTTAATAAGAGTAAAATAGAGTACTAATTATGCCAACTTTGATTGGGATGAGGTTCGAACCTAAGACCTTTTTTTTATTGAAATCAATGAGTAAGTTAACGGTGAACTAACGACAATTCTTAAAATTTTAACGGAATTAGTAACGGTGTGTGGGTATTTTAGGAAATTTTAGTGTAAAATTTAAATCTTATCAATCTTTTAATCAATCTGAGTCATTCATTTGATTAAAATCTGTGACCGCCATTTTTTCTACCCATTATAGGCCTAACTCTCTTGGGCTCTTATTAGTATATATATATATATATATATATATATATATATATATATATATATATAGTAGATATATTTTTTTTTTGTTTAAAAAGTCAGATTTCTTTTATTTTTTACTTTTTCTTTTTCCCCACATTTTTCTCTCTTTCCTAATCACTCTTACATTCTCCCCCTAATATCTCATAATGTTGCTCTTAGGATTTTTGACTTTTTTTATTTATGCAAAAACTCTTATATCTCATGAATCCCCATTAATGAGAGAAATCGATCGAGTTTTTCGTAAGCATTATATTTTTTCTCATAAGTAAGTCTTCAATCATATCCCTAAATATTACTACGTATATTTTAATTGAAAAATATTATAATTTTTCTCAAAAGTATCACATTTTTCATAATATGTATTACACTTTTTCATACAAGTAATAATCAATTTATCGATGATTAATAATACACTTTTCTGACCTCATAAGTATTACGTGTTTCCTCATAAGTAATAATCAATTAATATATCCTTGATTAGTATATCATTTTTGTCATAACTCCTCAACCCCTAAATATTATATTTTAATTAAAAGTATTACATTTTTATTCAAAAGTATCACACTTTTTTATATAAATATTATACTTTCTCTCATAAGTGATAATCAATTTATCCCTAATTAGTATTACACTTTCCATCATAAGAATATTACATTTAATTTCTATCTAGACTCAAACTGTCTCACGAAAAAGAATTTGTGAGACGGACTTAGAAGAGAGTCACTCTTTTATTTAATATATAATTAACTTGCCTGTCTTTATATAATTGCTCCTTGTGTATTGGTTTTAGCTAAGCAGTTAACTTGTAATTGCTCCTTGTGTATAAATAACTCTTCTTGGCAACATGAGAAGGTTGCTAAGAGGTGAGAGGGTGAATTCTTGTTTTTACTTGCTTAAGTTCCTTACAATACAAAAGGTTGACTTTGACGGTAAATTCGTGTATGTTTGTACGTCTGTTACATTTGTCCCATAATTTCTCCAAACACTTAGCCTAGAAAAGTGAGTTTAATTTGTGAGGTTGACTGCTTAGCTAGAATTCTGGACTAATTTGTGAGGTTGACTGCCTAGCTAGAATTCTGGACAGGATGTGTGGTTAACAATTCTGGACAGGATGTATGGTTAACAATGAGTACATCAGAGCATAGACTTGACGGTTTGATGATAAAACTGATCTATAATATGACTGACGGGTAGATTTGAACCAATAAACTGATAGAAAAAGACCTGAAATATCTCGTGATTTACACTAAAAAAAAAAAAAAAAACAAAAAAGTTACCACCACATTTTTTAAAGCTTATATTACTTCATGCACTTTTTTTTTTTTTTTTTTTTGAGAAAATAGTACTTCATGCACTTGTAGTATAAAACTTGTGCACTTCAAAGTTATTATTCTTTGCATGCAGTTGTAGTATAACGTTGTGTCCTTGTAATATGAAATTTATGTAATATTGTATAGAACTTATATGCTTGTTCTATAAAACTTGTGCACTTCAAAGTTAGAAAAAATTACTAAAATATCACAACAATTTTTTTTTTTTTTTTTATAAATTTTCCTCCATTAAGGAGCGTTGAACTGGATCAAGTCAATGGCTGAGATTCCATCCCTTTTTTTTTTTTTTTTTACCTCTGCAACTCTTTTTATTTGATCCCATGCATGCAAACATGCTAACTGCACAATTAGTTATCAGGAATGCATAATCAGACATTACAAGATGCATAATGATAGTTCACAAACACACACACACACATAAACTTGTGGACTAATCTTATGCATTTTTTTTTTTCTTTTTCTTTTGCAACCCATTGTTATGCGTTGTGCATTGTAGGCTGGTGAATTGTGCATTAGTGCACTTAGTGCGGTGCATCGTAGAATTATTGATAAATATGTGATTTTAGAAGGAGGGGTGCACCGTAGGCTGTCGCTGGCTGCGCTATGCATTGGGGTACGGTGCTAGGTGGTCCTTCATAGGACTGTGAGTTTTGCATTGGTTAGGTATTAGTCCATCACTATTGTAGTTGTGGCGCATTCTAGTGCTAGTTGTGTATTATATTGTTGTTACAATGTTTTTGTCGTGAAGTTTTATTTTTTGACTTCTAGACGTGGTGTTAATATTAGTAATTAAAAATAGTTGTTTGTTTCAATCAATATTGTTATAAAAGAAACATGTTTGGAAGACTAATATGGCCGTTGCTTGAAAGACTAATATGCATTTGCGCAAATATTCTTACTATTTTATCCTCTTAATTTTCTTAATCTAAGTAGATTTGTTGGTTGTGCATCCTTTATTTTTAACGATCTAGATTACCACACGTTCTCACCTGGGAGGATATTCTTATGAGCACGCGCGCGCACACACACAAAAAAAAAAAAAAATATATATATATATATATATATATATATATATATATATATATATATATATATATAGAGAGAGAGAGAGAGAGAGAGAGAGAGAGTTAGGATCATATGAGAACATACATGTGTTTAGGTGAGAACATGAGAACACTTCATGTGCATTCATATAATATTTTTAATGGTCTAGATTAGATTAAGTGTGTGCGAACGCGCATTAAATGTGTGCAAACGCGATTTAATGTGTTTGCACACATTTAATGCGCGTTCGCACATACTTAATCTAATCTAGACCATTAAAAAATATTATATGGATGCACATGATGTGTTCTCACGTTCTTACCTAAACACATGTTCTCACTGGAACCCTACCCTACCATATATATATATATATATATATATATATATATATATATATATATATATATATATATATATATATTGAGTACTACTGACTCTATTATAATATAATGTAGTATCTATCTATACATACTTTATCAACATATTAAAAAACAAAGAGTCAATGCTTCCGCGCACGCGCGCGTACACATGTATGCAGAGGCGGACCTACAGTGGGGGCAGTGGGGTCAGCTGCCCCCACTCACCCCACCCCCACCCCTTATATAACCTTTGTATGTATATGTGTATATATAGTACAAGTTTTAGTAT